GTGGCAACTCCTGTTCACCGCGTCGACGTCATCAGCATCATCACTGTTCTAGCAGTTTCCCTCCCGTAGACTGCTTTTCCTGGCGAAGTTCGAGGGCCTCTTCATCGTCTTCTCGAATAGTCCTTTCTGCCCCGTCAATGATGTGCTTTTTCAACCGATCACAGAACGGCAACGTGATTGTCGATTGTTTATCTTAGCAGCCGTTAATTTTCGCATAAAACTTTGCACAAGATCCTAGTTCTTTCATTTCGTTCAATCTGTTTATAGAAGTCGTTGACGGAAAAAGATGTCAAAGCTGTAGTAAAGAGAATCCACTCAAAATGGTTGCAAAGGGAGAAACAGTTTTAAAATCTGATTAGAAATGAACCAAAGCGTGTCGATAATTTTTGTAATGATGTTACAGTTACATCTCTTATGTTTTAATAGACAGTAAATCTTTAACAGTTATCAATTCTGATAAACACATCGAACAAGAAAATAAGAAATTCACATTAAAGCTGCGATTGCACTGACAAAGAAACTGCAAAAAATTTGCTGATCCATAATTCAGAGCAAATGGATCAACCAATCAGTCAATTTCCATGACTGCTTGTCCTTTCAGGAAGCGAAAGATGTTCAGACAATGTTTCCAACATTTCCGATCCTGTGCCAGCGTTTGACAAGATTTAGGATGTTTAAATACCGCATTTGACAATCATTACTAGTGTCCATTTTTAAGAGAGGTAATGAAAAAATATCGATTTCACCGCTGAGCATCATGCTGCCCGTACAGTATCGTGACTTTATGCCGTACGCGTTTCATTATGATCATGAAAACAATTAGTGAAACACCTACTAAACGTCGTGCTAATTTTATGTCTAATTAACATATTTGAAAAAGGTATTCTGCTCATATAACTATGGAAGGAATTCTTGATTCTTTATCTGCGATGGCGATGGCGATAAATAATCGCACGGTGGATCACGTATTGCACTGTAGCGAGTAGCGTCAGAGACAATGACAGTTGGATATTATCGTCCCTGATTAGTGGAAAAATGAAAATATAATTCAGTTACTAATTAAGGCATCATTTCATGTCGCTGTTTAGAAAAACTACACAACGGCTGCGTCAGTTACTACGATCATGTCTTAAGCTTGGACCTTATCAAAGTATCAACAATTGTGTGCATGGCTTTATTTCATATCTTTTTTCTCATTTATTCATTACATTCTGTATTTAACTTAACTGTTTCGCATCCAGCGTTAGCTTTGTATTTCAGTTTATTACCTGATAAGGAAAATTCAGCTTCTCTTTGAAAGCAGATTTCTGAACAACGTCTTAATATATCCGTCATTGACAACGTAGCCACCGAATTAGAAGTCTGGACGCTTCTTTTCCATTGTTCCTTTATTATCGTTAATTAGAATCTTGGTAATTTCGACCTTGTCGCAAGGGGGCCTGGCTGCATGTATTTTACGGATATCAGAATCAGCAAATTATGAAGGTTACGAAAGATTAAATTACGAAACAGGCAACACGATGCTACAATTACCTAATATCTACTTCTCCTCCTTCGTGCATGCTGAATCCGCCGTCTGTCTGCTTCATGGATTTGAGAAACGAATAAAGTTTCGCCCTGTAAATAAAGTCAGCTATTTTGCAATATCTATCGAGTGAAAATACCTATCGATGGAATCGTAAGCTTCTTTGGTGCCGACGATACACAGAACCATAACAGAAGCATACGTTGTCGCCAGATGAGCCATCTGCCCGGGACCACCTAATTTTTAAAGAATTAAAATAACCTTCAGATATAAAGTGCATTACATTATGAAGTTAACGTGAAGTGCTTTTAGATGCGGATACGACAGATAAAGGAACAGTATATATACCTTACACCAGGCTAGTTCATCTCGTGTCAACAAAATGGATCATTTATAGCCGACATGGTCAAGATGTGCAGGAGTGACTTAAACATGCTCGATGTTCAAGTAAAATTTAATGATACCAGCATTACTGAACCACCAGAAATGGCCGCTACGAAGTACCATTTTAGGCTGGTCTGATGCAAGCAGAGGGGTTCGTTATGATCTTATGCCTATTTGGCAGGGACAAATAGGTTCGGTTATTGGATACAAACGTCCTGATCAAACGCTTCTAAATGCTGGCCTGTGCTATTACCTTCACTTTTCCACTGTTACACAGATCATGATTGTAGATAAGTTTTACCTATCCATGTGTAACCCTGGTGATCGATATGTAAATGCACAGATACTGTTCAACTTAAACCAATAAATTTATCACTTTCTTATAAAATAAAACGTCAGAAACTCCATCACTTATAGCAGATTAGTCTGCCAACCTTCTGTGCTCATTGATCATATACTTACTCCTAATCCTACCTAATCCTTAACAGGATTATCAGTGTCACCTGGTGATATAAAAAAAGTTCATAAAATTAGAATTTAAGTTTTAACATTAGTTTGAAGTTGATTTCACGAAGGAATCTGTTCCCGATGAAAAATGCAAAGCTTGGCGTTTGTTGATGCTCATCGAAAATAGAACTAAATTTTAACGGTTGCGTTTAATTTTTTAGCCCGCGCTTAATGTCGATAATATCCTTCTTGTAAATAGATTTCCGGATCTAACAGGCTGCTGAAGATCTACCATTCCTTGCCTAATTTGCTGACCCTGTCGTAGCGCATGAAACATGTTTTCATTTGAATAACCTGTTGAGAATGAGTTAATAATGAACTAACGAACTTGGAAAAGCCATCCTCATCCAGAAGCGTTATAACTGAGATTTCCTGAATTTTAATATCCAAATCGACAAGACTCTTCTTTTCTCTATCTCGACATCGCTGATCAACGATCATTCAATCAGATGTTATAAAATTCCCCCTGTCAACCATCATACTGTTTGTCGTCGGCACCAAAACTGCAAATAATTGGCATGCTTTCTTCCGGATTAACACAGACGACAGCGATGGATTATGATCCTTCAAGGCTTTATTCACAGTTTTTTCTCTTATATCTACCTAGCTTAAATGTGTCACCATCTAGCTCAGCATCAAGTTATCTTAACCTACTTAACTGATCACTTCGAGGAACATGACAGACCTTAAAGATTAATGCAGCGATTCATGAGTGCACACTTCCATTACAGCAAATCTCATTCAGCCAAGCATTCCATCACGTTTATGCCGCTGCCCAAACGCATGAATAAGGAGCTTCGTGGTTCAGTCAAAATTCAGCTCAAATGTACCACGTTGTGCCACATGTTTCAAAATAAAGCTTCTTTCTCTTAATCATCATCGACCGAACTTCTGTGAGGACTAAATTTTGACGCAGTTCCATTTAATTTATGAACTTAATCGTAAATACTCAATCCAACCGTTATCTACTTCTGCTTTGGTGGCATCAGCAGCACGGTTACCCCCTCCCATTGAGAATAAAACGCGTTCATCGGATACGCATGCAACCTGGCACGACAATTTTATTCTTCGCGCTGCGTTTGCGCTTAGCACATATTTTCTACAATTTCTTTGTCTTTGATGAACAAATTGCTCAGGTGAAGTAACTTCGTACTTTGAACAAACTGCAGAGATATTTATTGACAACTGTCCATTAGGATGAGTACAGTCACTATAAAAATTGTGCTAATTGCGTTCTCGAGCAGTTATGCTGCATATAAAAGTGTGCTATCAGATGTGGTGCTTTTACACGTTGTACCGCTACACACGATCACCTCTGAGACGAGGAATTCTCGAGGAGCATATTTATACTAACCATCTAAACCAAAAAAGTATAGACTGATACAGAACAGATGTGTCAAATGCTTGCTAGTGAAAACCATCATAATTTTCATATCACTTTATGTTAGTGTGCTATACATAGCCGCAATCTGTCTGTCATTCTACCTTAGCTGATTATCCACATTCATATTATCTGCAAGAGTAAGTTATACTCAGCAGATAACTTTCAAGTAACTTAACACGGTGCATAATTTTAAAGCTTTACACCTTCTGCCTTTGCAGTCCATTCACACATTTGCATACTTTTTTACATCACACACTCACCTCCGTATCCACCAACAGGACTCTGACAGCATCGGATAAAACGAACAGCTCTAAATCTTAATCGATGAAAAATCACTCACTTAAATTAATATCTCAGACACCTGACTGCCATTTCAGCTGTAAGCGGCTCATCGAGTAGATCAAGACTATGCAAAATCCAATACAGTGTCCACGTTCGACTTGCGTCTAGACCCTACAAACAAAAACAAACAACAATCATTCGGTAATTACCGGCTAAACTAACAAATATACATCACGTTAGCTTTTGTATTTTGCAGTTACCGTTAATACGGGCTTGTGCAATATTTCAGAAAAATAGAACCGAAGTCAGTTTGCTGAGCAACTTTTCATATTGAAGTTGAGAATGCTACTCATGAGTTGCACGTAAACATACCTTCTGACCCGTTAACACTGTCGAACAAGCGTACTGAGCGTTCGATCAGTTTTATGTTCTTCTTTCTGTGATTGTCACAGGAAAGCAATAAGTATTTAGCTACCACATGTAATTTCTTACCACCCATCTTACTTCTGGATTCAGGCGCATTTAGGAAAGCCAAATGCCCTAACCACACTGATTCCTTATTTTATACTTGTTAACAACTCCCCCCATGCACTACTCAAACAACACAATCTCGAAACCATTGCAGCAAAGCGTCTGGAAAGCGATACCACGCTTTGGCGGATTTTTTTTACTTATGTGCAGTAAATCACTTTTGTAAATGTTTTTCGTAATCTCTGCTGCACTGTAGTTAAAACAGTTAAATTCTTCATAAAACGTATATGGAACACTTAAGCAAATAATTTTGAATTGAGTTCTCTTTCATTAAAATTCAACCGCTACGTTATTGACACAACACGCCAAAAAACGATCAATAAGTGGCAGTGGCTGATCTGAAGGGCACTGAAAGACATGGCTGCTGTGACTTCGTCTCTTTAATATGGGCACCGAAGCTTTTTCAGCGTTAGATGTTCAGAGAATCATCAACCATTTTGCTGCAACATTCAGTTTCATTCATTTCATTTTGGAACTAATTACTCGATTCAGTAAGTCGCAAGGCCACCAGTGTCATAAAGCAATTCCAATTACTTCCGGCCAATCAGGTAACCTCCATGGACTCCAATCCTATGCGCTGCAGTGCCATATCATCTACATAAATGTAATCGAGTCATAGCGCCGCGGTCTACTCTCTGACCTTCTACCACATGGTTTTACCAAGAGTCTGCCTTGCGTTTCATTAACATCTTGATCACAGCCGAACTCTCGATATGAGCAAGGAATGGCCCACAAAGGAGCATATTTCAAACAATGGCGTACTGAACCCTGTCAGGCTTCATCAAACGAACAAACCTTCAATTTCACTTCTATCATTTTCATTATTAACTATTCAGTCTTCCTTCGTATGGCAGTAATAGGTAAGTGGTATAAATTGAGGCTATCTGAAAAAACTGTACTCATCTTCCAGAACATTTAACCATTTCATTCATCAGTTGTGTCAAGCTCCAAGCCAGATATATCTAGATGTTGTTTTCACGTTAGCTTTGTGTAACGCACGTTGGCCTGAGACGAACCTAATGGAATTTATCACTGTTCATTCGTTTCCCTATCGGATAAGGCTCTCAAACATCCAAGAGAACATAATCGGAGACAGTTTTCCTGATGTCTTGCAGATTCGTGGCTGAAGGCACCAAATAAAACCCATCGGTTTTGTTAGATACCTTCAGTCCTGACTTAAAAACTGTTACAGTTTCGACAATGAGCCCAAACTGGAAAGCGCGAAATGTCAGTTGTACAACAGCATGATTCTGCTGTTTACTTGATCCACTGCTCTTCATTCTCCTTTGCTTTAATGCACTGAAGTTATCATTTTGCTAAGATCTATCTGTTACGTTGCTTGCCTGCAGTCTTTTGCAATACTCACGTTTCTGTGCTGTTTGACCTGTTTAATAATTCTTCTACTGCTCAGTTGGTCAGTCAGTCAGTTTTGTTGACTGCTTATCTTCTCAGGGCGTGGAGGTAAACGTGTCAGCGAGTATTTCCAACATTCCCGATCCTAAGTCAGCCATTTAGGTTCGGCAGGAGACAACTTGATTCTGGAGCAGACTCTATCGACACACCTAGTCATGGTTATTTTTGGTCATCCCCTGATCTTGGGCCGGTAGACTCGGCAAGCAGTACTATCTCGTATCAGTTTCGGCAAGTATTTGGAAGACGTCCCAAAACCATAGCAGTTGTGACTTCTCAATTTGGAGAAGCAATGGCAGCACATCAAGGCTCTCACGGATAAATCTCTACTCCGGACCATGTCCAGACAAGTGAGGCCAGCGATTTATCTCAGAAAGACTATCTCAGCGGTTTGTACCCAGGATTACTTGCATTTTTCAGTCATAGTCCATTCATAAAGCATCGGGATAAAGAATGAGTTGAACACCGAGAAATTATTTTTCTGATTCAGCTCTGCTTTAGTCACAACAGTTCAGGCTGGTTCATACAAAACCCCACTAGCCACTTCAATCCGCCGGTCGATCTTTTCTTCAAATTTTCCATCACTAGTAAACATGACCCCGCAGAACTTAAACTATTCCACTTGCTCCACTGCTTCTCCGTTTATCTGAAGAGAGCAACAAGAAAAAATAAGGAAAAAGTACTAGACTTTTCGTTTTTTTCAGAGAGCGCTGGAGATCAGATTCAGAAGATGCCAATAAAACAAGGTCGTCTGCAAACAGCAACGTTCTCCTCTCTACATCTCCTACACCGACACACTCGCCATGGTTGCGCATGATTACTCTATCCACGCAAAACATAAACAGGAAAGAAGACAGAACGCAGCCCTGACAGAGACCAGTACCAACACTGAAAGGTGTCGACTAGACGCTATCTAGTCTGATCCAGTATTTGATATCACCATATAGTGACTCGATAGCCCGTAGGAAATTGCCAGACCCATACAATTGCAGGCATACCCACAGAATGTTAGGCAAGATAGAGTCATAGGCTTTCTCCAGTTCAGCATAGTAAATGTAAACCTGATGACCGAATTCTAAGACTTCTCAAAATCTGGCGTAGATTTGGTCAGGGGTGCTTCGGCCTGACTTGAAACTATACCGCTCGTCTTAGACCTTGGATTCGGATATTCCGCGGTAACTCTCTTCCTACGCCTTTTCTTTACGGTAGTTTCCGACAGTTCGAGTATTATTTATGGTCTCCGTTTTTGAGCAGTGATAACACCAACCCCATTATCCAATTCCCTGATGTCTTCGCCATGGCCATTACAGTTTCACAAATACTTATTTGTCACCGCATTTCTTGTTCGCCTTAAGGTTCAAGCATCTCATAGCGGACTTCAGCGGTTCTCGGTTCCAGCAGCCGTGTCACTTTAAAAAATTTTACAGCTACTGTGACTTCATCTACTGAAACATTAATATTGGTTGCCTGCTGATGTTCAGGAGAGTAATCTTGAGTTGTATCTGGGTTAAAGAACGCATGATACATATGAAACATTACATAATGTGAATATTTTAGCAAAATATAACGGCATGACAAAGGAATGAAAGTCTGAAACTGCAGTACTTTAAAACCGATTATGCTAAACATGCATTACTCAGAGAAGTCTTGCGTAGATCAATAACATTCTAGTTTACCTCATAGCTTTTTGACAG